ATTCCTGTGGGAAACTGCTGACACAAATCAACAACCCCTTACACACTTCTTGCTCCCTATGGAGGGCTTCACCTTGGAGTAACCTAGAATTCCCTAATGAGAATGTCATGTATTTTTAACAGTGTATTTCAGGTCTTGGCAGCATGTCTCCAGCAAAATGACAGAAAAGAGGAGGATGGCCAGCTGCTCCGGATTTGTGGATTACCAGACCTTCACAGCAGAAGCTGTATTTTGCTTCAGTAGCAGAAAAGACCCATTTTAAACTCCTGGCAAGTTTTCTTCCTTGCTTAATCAAAAACAAATTGCGACTAATTCCACCAGCAGCAATGGCGACATGCCTCAAGGACCAGGCAGCTTCTACTTATTGTATATATGGAGTCCTATTACCTTGTAGGACTACTTCTTGAACACAGCTAGGAAGGTTAAACTAGGCTTTTTGCATGGACGTCTTGTTGCACTGACTTAGTGTATTACTTGCTTTGCTACAGCCATGCAGAAAACTGCACAGTAGCAAGCCAAAGAAGCAAGCAAGTATTTTCCAGTTGACCACAGAAGGCACAAGGCAGCAGAAATGGCTTCCAGCCACCTTGGTAGCCTGTGGAGTTCAAGTTACTGCAGGACTGAAGATGTCCACCAGAAGAAAGAAACTCTTCGTCGCTCTCTGATGCACAGCAGCAGCCTCCCAGGAGAATCACCTGCAATGTGGGACAAAATACAAGAAAACAATTGAGGAAATGGTCAGTGATAAGGGGAAGAGACAGACTGACTTGATGGTTCTTACCTTAGTGGCTTGGTGCACCTGCACTAATCCTGGATGAATCAGCACGGTTAGTCCATTGCAGTCAATCTCCCCAGAGTTTGTCATGCCCAAAGAAGCTCAGCATTGTCCTGCGCAGGACATGCTGGTAGACAGGATGGAGAAGAGCCAGCATTACTATGCCTGCATCTCTGTTGGCAAATAGCACTCGTTTTCATCACTGGTCCTCCAGAGAACGCAAACGCCTTTTCTTCCAGCACTGTTTCCTGCAGTGGTGCTCTGGCAAGATCATTGGGGCCTAGGGCTACAACCTGAGCACTGCTTGATCTGGGGCTTGCTCCATGACAGATAAAATAGGGCTTGAGCTCCAGCCAAGTGGTGTCAGTGGTGAGGGTGCAGCCTCCTCAGCCTGTTACGGCTTGTGACTCCTGGCAGCTCTGGTGCAAGATGGGTTATCACACCTACAGACAGGTAAATAAGCAGGGTCATGCTGCCTGGATCGACCTACATGGGGGAACAGATTGTCTTTTCTGCTGAGGGGAAGTGAAGGAAAGACTATAACCAAACCCATTCCACAAATCTGGCAGTAGCAGAAGTGTGGTGCTGTGTTTGCCAGGCTGCAGGAAGATGGCTATGTGCGAGCCCAGGCCTGCGTGGAGAGTGGTGTGTGTGCTGCTGTGCATGTACTGAGCAAGCTATCCCACATAGCTTGGATAGGTGGGAGATACGGCCCAAACCCTTCATAAAGCAGACGCTCTGCAGAAGGATCTGGGAAGGTGAAGACATGTTAAGAAGTAGAAGCCTTGACAGGACTTTCTGTCTTATCCTTTGTCATCTCCCAAGTAACAAGTGATAGGGTAAGAGGAAATGGCCTCAAGTTGTTCCAGGAGAGGTTTGAATTGGATATTGGGAAAAATATCTTCCTCAAAAGGGTTGTCAAGCACTGGAACAGGCTGCCCAGGGAAGTGACAGAGTCAGCATCCCCAGAGTTATTTAAAAGATGCGTAGATGTGTCACTTAAGCACATGGTTTTAGTGGCACTTTGATGGTGCTGGGTTAACATTTGGAATCTATGATTTTAAATGTGTTTCCCAACCTAAATGATCGTATGATTCTGTGGTTTTCTAATTTCTCTGCTTGTTCTCTCTGTTCATCTCCTTCCTGTCCTGCTCTGCTTTCTCATGCCCCTTCGCAGACTGCCAGATTCTTCAGATACCAACATGCCGCCTGTCATGAGCACAGAGTGCACGTAGTTCTGCAGTTCAGCTGGGTGCTAACCAGGCTGAGTCAGTTCAGCCCGAGAGACAGTTACTTGGGGTGGCTTCCCAAGAACCTGCTTTGTCTGCAGTGAGGAGTTGCAGGAAGCTGAGTATCCCATGTCTGTTCCAAGTGCTGCTCTTCAAGCAGGGAGAGCTTGCAGGAGTGTAATTATTAGCTGCATATCTGCAGCTAATTGATGCTGTCTTCCCTCGTAAGCAGTGCACAACAGGGTTTTAAATAGACTATAACCTTGAAATAATTGCAACATTAGGAGGGTGTTCCGTGGTGAAGGAATGATTAATTTTAATTCTTTCTTCCTGGCTTTGCTCTCTTACTTCCTGAATATTCACAGTAAATTACTTCAGTAAGTGTTCTTATGTTAGATAATTTTTATAAATGCAGCACATCACTGGAAATCAAGCTTCATTCTTCCTCCCTCATATATTGCCCGTTACAGCATACCTGGTAGTTAGGTTAACGGCCTGTGAAGCACAACAGAAACCAGACTATCCATCTCTACCTACCTCTTCTCTGAAGTACTGACAAGAGGAAAGATGCCTATAGGTAAATTCAGCACATATGACTTAGAAGATGCGAGTGGAACTTTAAAGTTGGAATCTGCTTCTACCCCCAACCCAGCCACCCAGCAGAAGGTAGCTGCAGACAAGTTTGGTGGGGAACATATTTGCTCACATAGGTTACTCACACCACAGCTCTCCTGGGCTGCTTCTGTCAGCAGCCGTCTAGCATCTGAGTTTGCATGAGGGCCTGCCAGGGGAATGTGCTCCTCCGCTTGCAGCCAGCGTCAGTAAATCACAGCGTGACGGGCTCACCGCCCCGCCGCTGAACTTTTAACTTGAAGCTCGAGCAGGGCGCTGAGCAGCTCCAGCTACATGACGCGGAGCGGTGGAAGTAAATCACTTCTCTGGGAGCAAGGGGAAGCCCAGCATACTGTTCTGCAGACTTTGCCTACAGCTTCTTTGCTGTATAAGCGTAGAATATATACACCCAGGAAAGCAATTAGAGAGAGATGGACCTCCAGCACAGAGCTCGCCCTTTCCCCATCCCGGAGGATGAAGAGGTTGCACACAAGGTCGCTCCTGATGCTCACAACTCTGCAGGGAATGAAGAGAAACCAGTGTCAAAATTGCAACGTAGGCACAGTGAAATAAAACTCTACAAAGAGTTTTGTGACTTTTATGCAAGATTGTAAGTTCATTCTGTTTGGCTTCGCGATGTAACTGCGGTGACATTGTTGGTGTACTGTACATACGTATTTTATTATCTGAGCTTGGGGCAGGCTGTGCAAGTCATTCTGTAATGCGACCTTTGCCACTGTTCTGCTTGATACGTTGCCAGTTGTAGTTGTCAACTAAAATTTGAGCTGTTGCTTTAAACTCCATCATTAATTGCATCAGAAACTTTTGTCAGCAGTTGAAACAGGGTTGGAATTTGTCACATAGT